GTTTACTGATTTTTTCAACTTTCCTCATCGGTTTTGTGCCTCTAAAAATGACCGTGTTCGACTGCGCTTCCTTTGTCAACAAGTTTAGATACACGGTTTAAATTTTGTGGACTAATTGGCACACACACACGCAATTAAAAAGCACGTGAAAAATCCTAAAAATTACTTAATTGTAAATAGTTTGCGGGCACAAATTAATTAAGGGATTATAAAGTAAAATAGGTTTATTTAACTCGAATTTCGCCGTGGCATCCGAACGGTTATGTGAACCAAGATGCTGAGTGCTTACAGATGTCCTGATGACAAGTAAATTTACGCGAGAATATTTTTCTCATTAAAAAGTAGGAAGTAGAGGAGGACTCATGGCCACAGACCCCTTTTGAACACCGATGAAATACAACACCAAACAGTACATAATGCAATAAAACCCTTGGGTGGACCGAAGTGGACGTTAACATGCCTTATAAACAGCTTTGGGTCATGTGAGTTACGAAAGGTTGGCAAATAATTACAGATATATTTGTAAAGAAGCCGGTCAAAAGAGAATAAACTTGCGGCCTATTACGTAGTGTGGGTGACAGAATATGCAAAGGTGTGACAGCCGTTTGAACAATTCACTCAATGGAAAGGCGAAGCAAGGTTTGATGGACATCTTCGGTATTAATAACGGCAGAATAAGGCAAGGGGGGTTGAGTTCCGACGACGAAAATTTGCTTACAAGTTATCAGTCAAAGACTGCGTATCGGTAAGTTATACAACTTTATTTTGTATTAAATCAAAAAGGGATAACTAAGAAACAGTCCTAACCCGAAGAGGAGGGGAGTAGTCTTGGGTTAATGCACGTTTTAAATTCACAAAAAGAAGAATATGGGCAAGGCAAAACACTGGCTTGCCCACAAAATGAATCCAGCCTTCCTAGATTCCCGCCCTGCTAGGATCTTCGCCTTTGCTATGCACCAAAAAGGGTGGACGAGGTCAACTGGATTGAAGCAGGGGTAGAATTACGAAATGAGATGGATGTATGGAGGGACTTGAAAAAGTTGAGCGCTGCTGAGTTCAACGAGCCTCTGCCGATGTTGACGGCATGGTAGAAGTTCTCCGGTGGATGAGTCCGGTCATTGTCCAATCGGTACAAAGCAAAGCGCTGGGAGAAGTAAAGCAAACAGAAGTAGCACCATCCGCCAAGGCCTGTACAAATGAGGAAACAGTTGACAAGAAACTGGTCCCACAGATGAAGAACGGTCCAGGAGAGAGCACAGATCCTTGTGACAATCCAGCGCTGGCCTCTCAAATCTTAGAGACGAGTTCATCCATTCACACCTGCATAGAAAGGCCAAACAAGAAAGTCTCAATCCAGGTAACCAAGACTATATGAAGTTCGCCTAGGGCATGCTTCACGAGGAATCGAATTCCAAAATCGGTCGAACGCTTCCGATATGTCGCTGGAAACCACAGCTTTTAACGAAAAGGTACAGAAATTAAGACAAGTGAAACGTAACGCTTTAACCCGTATTTGTAGTCACTTAAAATGGCCTTACCTTCAAGATCAGGGAAGAGCTGCTTGGTCAGATCCGTTTTGGGGATTTCGCACAAAATATAGATAACAAAGATGGACCGTTAATTACTGGGGTCTGATGCTGCCTGATGCTGTCTGAAGCTGCCTTTTTTACAGTGAATTTTTACTTGAAGCTGTCGTCCATAAATTAGCACGTATTATACACAGTACCAAAATCAGAGATGGACCCAGCCTTTACCAACGCCTGCGGGCATAAACGACCAGCAAATAACGGATCTCTAAAGCAGAGTATAAATAAAGGGACACCCAAGTAGATGCTTTCATTTAAGGGAAGAAATTTTCAAAGATTCTGAAAAAAGGTCCCATGGTAGGCTAGAACTGCTCGATGGTGGCCCATTCCCTTGTTCAGGGTAATTTTAATACATTGTCAAATATTCATATGATCAAAAATGAGTTTATTACGACGAATTTTTGCCTGGTGAATTTTATCGAATTCCTTATGGATCGGAACCATTGAGCAACGAAACAATCCAACTATGGGGTAATGTGGGTATTTGCGTCCGTTTTGATCAGTTTTATTCCACTTCCTGCCCGTATGTTCGCTTGCAGCAGTGAAATTCCAAACACTATTTCGAACTTATACACGTCCAACGGTTTCGATCTCAATACTCATCTGGTGGAAATTTCCTGAAACTCTAGGAATTCAGGTCCTCCCAATTCCGGAATGTGTCCCAAAAGTCAGGAAATTCTGCAGGAAGCACTTTGTGGATGCAGTGTTATCTGATAGTCATGAAGGTCTTTAGCCGGCTCCAGTCTGGTTTCCTAATGTTTGCACTTTCATATTATGGTGTCAAAACAGCATCTGGGATGACTATTTTCTGACTTTTCCGGCTAAGCAGATAAAACTGTTAGGCGGAAGAATTTCTGGAAAGTATTCGTACAACAGAGCAGACAGGATGACTCGAACCCAATTTTCTTTATAGGTAGACCGTTTGGTAGTAAAATGACATAAGATTTATAAGGCTGGAGACATTCAGTCCTTTTTCTAAGACAAACGCCCTGTTCTCGAAAACTTCATTGAATTTCTCGAATCTTAATATTCTGTAGGAATGGCACACAACGGAAGCAGGTTTTTCATTGAAACAGCGCAGAAGTTTCTCTATGTTGATATAACAAGTTTGGGCAAAACTTATCGAAGCAGTTAACGTTTGGTCACCATTAATGTCTGAGTGTGGAGGTCTAAGAATTCACCTGAGTAATTACTGACAGCGGCAATTAGCATCAATTTATGCTGACCTATACATCACGAGGACCTGACGAAGGAAGTTCAACTACACCCTTGAATCATGCTCAAAAGTAAATTAATCGTCTTTGCAACTGTTACCTTGAAAATTTTGCTGAAATTATATTAGACCCATGTTCGCAGGCTTGCTTATACTATGCACTGGTCATCTTGTTTCGAAGTTTTGACTTCTTATGATAAAATATTTTCCCGCTGAATCTTGTCTGGATCTTGGTTTCAAGTAGGATTTATACTGTTCAAATAGTAAACAAAGAGATTTTCGTAAACACTACATTTTTACAGTATTTAGGTAAAATTATAACTCAACACATCCAACTCCTCTCCTGAAGGCAAACGATTCTTGTAAACAGGAAGTATGCACTGTTCAATCACAATATATCTATAGGTTTGTGAACTCCTTAAAAAATTGGAGGTTTTAGTTCAAAACGGAATCAGCTTACAGGGAATTAAAGTTGAAGAAATTTCTGCTGACACTGATCAATGAGGATATCTTCTAACTAGTGTATAAAAGTGGCATTCTAAGTCAGATTCATGAGGGGCTTTTCAAAGCTAACTTTACAGGGAAACTGAACGCTTCTTTTCTCCTCGTACACCTTATTGGAGCATAAAGTTTCAGACAAGGTTTATCGAGGTCGGTCCCAATCCGACTAGAAATATTCCTTTTTATGGATCCCAAAGCTGGCTTGTGACTCTTCTATAGTTACAAGTTCTTTAAACGATGTTTTCCATCTGAAAATTGGTTTTGGTATTGTTTCTACGGATGTTTGAAACACTGGCGTTGTATTCCTAGATATCTCTGAGTTTCCGGAAAACGTTGGTTAGCCATATAATTCAAGAGCCATATCATTGATATCACTCGTGTGCTACTCTGTTCGTAATGCATATTTCATTCAGCGGTGCAGTACACTAGCTGCGATTAATTGGTACGTTAAGCAAGTTCGTTAGATGTTAACTCTAGGGTACACTTTGGCCGTACCACATAGTTCCATTAAAATATTTGAAAAAAATTCTGCCTAACAGTGCCTGCGGAATGCTCAACGGCTCATTGTAATTAAAACTTTTTACAGTCCACACATCGGTCGCAGCAGTGCACACGCTCCATGTAGGAAACCAAATTAGTTATTTTTGTTATTCTCTCATATCAGCCAGTGCAGTCCAATTTGCTTCCTCATTACCATAGCTTAACAGAAGGTCGGAGACCAGTTGTTTTTTGTCGATTAGTTTCCAGTTCCTCGTATTACGTCCCTTATAATATTGCACATGGATTCCCTGCAAAGGCAAGAATACAGGAGAAATGCAGTGTTTAGTTCTAAACAACCAACGGGCCATGCGCGATTGCTGACGTGTATTTTGGTTCTATAAATAACTGTCTGACCTTCATCTCCGATTCCGAGAGGAATCAGTTCCTTATGGGAAGCACCCTTTAGCCAACCTATACGTCTTCATCACACGGTTCCTTGATATACCCATTATTTTAAACTGTGCTAAAAGCATTTATATTAATAATCCTGAGATTGTGATTAGGGAACAATTATTTGGACCGGTCGCTAGTAAAACTCTGTCAACGTTACGGCACATATTAGTTTTAAGATGACGATCCCTTGTTGTGCCTTAACTTGGTCTGAATGTGTCGAACTCACTACCTTCCGTTTTTATTGACAAATTAAATAAAGCCAAGGACACGGATGGAAGTGTCACAATTGAATGCTATACTACAGACATTGAACCTATCGTACTCCACTTCTGGAGAGATCTGGTGGAATTCAGCTGGACAGAAAATTATTATTATCCCTGAAGTGGTTTCTTTTTAGCAAGGAAATGCTGTATTCTTGCCAGGTAGTTCATTGTGACTGAGAATGAAAAAGATTAATGTAATTATGTTCGTCCAAGCGTCATTTTCCTGTAGCGGCGGTATCTGTGTTCCCCAAACCTACCATGAAACTAAGGAGTTGGTTGGTACAGTATAAGGAAGAATGGGTCATTGGACTTTACGCCCACAAAAATGGACCAACTGCGCATATGTTAACCACCTCTATCGTATCCAATGCTGCAATACCGCGAAAAACTGATAATTTGTGTGCTAAAAGCTGTCGGATTTGATATTTCGTTGATATTTACAGAGAGTTTTTGTAGTAACCAATGGAGGTATGAAGATAAATGATCTGGTTAACGAACGAACGTTTATTGTCTCAGCTTGCTAGCAGAATTTGTGCTGCAAACCGGATGATTGCTGTTTAATACGCGTTTGGCATACAAGTAAATGGGTCCACGTGCAGAAATCTTTGAGCCACCTGGTTCTTCGATCATATATGTCAAAGGCTCGCCAAACATGTAGTTTAATTCCTCCACATTATGATCTTCCAAACACCGGGGTCTGGAAATCTTCTCACCAGCCGCACGTGAAACACTACGGATTGTGATCCTGGAAGAGGTCAGCTCTACCAGACCATCATTATTCTCAGTTCCATCAAGACCCGGATCTGCACTTGGCTTATAAGCACTAAATGTCATTCCGCTTTGCACAGGTGCTACAGCTTCATAAGTGGGACCAGAGGAGAGTTCAAGGGGAGATAATGAGACCGCTTCTTTAGACACTTTTGGTGATTCTTGCACCTGCACCGTAGAACTCCCTCGTTGTTGCCAACTTATTCGCTCTTCACCTGTTTGCGGCGTCGTTACATGATTTTGCTCACGTGATGTATCCGGTTGGTTCTGGTAATCAATTTCCGCTGCTGTGGTTCGGATATGAAGTTTACCATCCGGTGCATCTTTTGCTTCAGTGGTGAGTTCACAAATCCGGCCGATATCATTAGCATTATCACACTGGAAGCTTTCGTAGAATTTTTTCCCCTTTTTGGCTGATTCTTCGACACATAACATGAATAACTGCGGGTTCAGAGAATAGATGAATATATGCTGAATATCCCGATAGGTCACAAGTTCTTTTACTTTCTTCCGATGTTTTGGTGTCGTGGCAGCAAAATGTAATCCATCTTCAACACAGTGAATATTCACCGGAATCGATTTCTTTTTCAAATGTTTCTTCATCAGTTTCTCCGCTTCGTTCGCACTGAACGTATGTTTTTTGCTCACCGTAGATTTTCCGACCCGCTTGGCTGACGACACAAAGTAAGATATCGATTCACTCTGTGACCGAGAATCATCGCGAAGAGAGACTGATGACGCGCTGATCCTTACATCTTTCTTGGACATAGCTTGATGTAAATGCAACCGTCAGGTCGTTGTGCTGTCTCCTGACCGAGTCAGTTAATTTCCAGCTGTGAAAAGTTGTTTGTCTCCGCACAAATGAGTGTGGGCCTGACACGTACACCAGTATCTCACGGCTAGATGGCTATTCCAAGAACCACTCAGGGACTCGAATGATTGGCCCACTGGGCTCGTGACAGAGCAGTTCGTGCATTCCATTGGGTCTCACACGATGTGAGTGTGGAAACGCCCAAGTGTGCATTTTTGTGTGCAGTTATGATTGGTTCTTTATGCTGAGGTGCTCAGCGCACGTGTGGCTCACTCGGAACGCAAGACTCAGTGGCGGATGTTGATCAACTGTATTGAAAGCTGGCAGCACGTGAATGGTTGATTGTAGCGATGAGTACATAAATTAATCAATTAGGGTCCAAAAATCACTGTGATGAATTTCTCATCATACTTGGGAATTCGGAATTTCATATCAACACACCAAACAAAATGGGGCACCCGTTGTGCTTAGTTGTGAGTCATTTGGTGACGAATTGGCACGAACAGGCATGCCCAGCTATGTGAACAAAGCAAACAAGGACAAGATTCCTCAATACACAGAATAGATATTGTGTGCCTGATAAGTATTGGGCTTCATATGTACTGTAGCAGTCGCAATTTATGGCTTTGTCCCAGCACTCCATCTAGCGAAGTCGTCATCAAAAAGTCATTTTTTAAAAACAATAAGAGCCTCCGAGAGTAGTTAGATTAAAAATCCGTATATTACAATTGCGAGATTATTTGGATAATATATACCGCGTTCAAAAAATAACTACATCAAGTGGCCAGACTATTTGTCACATTTTTCTAATGGGAGGGCCAGTTCTTTGGGCTAACTGAAAGGAGGTTAATCTGTGGAGGTTGTAATGCCAAAAAGAAGCTCTATTCCTGTCAAAAAACGATTTGCAAGACTGTGGAGTTGTAGAAATCGTCATGCCATATCACTTCTCCAGAACCCCAATCCATCTGTTGTGAGACGAAGCCACTGCCACTAACTAAAAATAACCTCAAACGAACTGGTAGGTTTGTCGGTCTGTTGATCGAATCAGCTACTGTTCATTGTTTTTCCGTTTGCCTTGAACTCGGGCTGAAGCAGCTTTTGTGTCGGAACTGAAACGTCGCCCGACAACACATTCACCAATTATGTACCGAATTTTTAGCGACAGTGATTAACTGGTCAAGTTCAAACCGCGTTCCACGATCACCTAATTTCCTTGATTTATAGTAATATTAATAACGTTTAAAAGGGTCTGAAAATAACTGTTGAAAAAAGTCCATAAGAGACCAACCACCAAAACCAGCCGAAAGCTCGGGTAGCGCCTCTGGAGGGGGGGGGGTGAGATTCAGGCCTAACAAATTTTTAGCTAGCTTCTGCCACGAAGTCTTCCACGATTTTGAAGCCTGGCTACAATTTGTTGGCGAATATCTATGGCGCCTACACTTACAAACCTCACTTGGACTTTGCGTACGAACAACACCCGGACAACTATGCCGATAAGCATTAACCATACTCCTGAATCCCGCTGGGACAAGTAGCCAATCTGCCGTTCTTGATTACTGCACTAACTGGCTGAATCGTCTGTCATGTGAAGCGAGTCCCTGGGTGGTTACATTGCCTTTGTTAGATGATGGACACACATGTACATGTGATTACTCTCGTAAGCAGAGGTTTCACTCAATTCACGAGTTTGTGTAGATGTAGATGTCAGCTGGGTGTGAGCAAGTCACTGATCGATAGGTTGGCTAATTGGGAATGTGGCATACATGCTGAGGCGAATGCAGTTTCCAGAAGTAGATTAAACTGTGACAGTGAGGTGGACAATTCGACATGCCCACGAAATGGAAAACTTACACTCGTTCAGGTTTAGTCAGCTCACAACTAAGCAGCACCTGAGGCTAAGGGCACAATAAACCCTGGTGACACAGTGATTATGACACGTCCTCTGCCGTTCAGTTTTACCACACCCGCTCTTCTTAGCTGCCTTCGTATGCAGTGGAGATAGTGATGTAGACGAAATATGGTTAGGGGTTGGAGGGCGATGACTGCTCTGCTTAGAAAACAGCTTTGTTTATTTATGCATCTGAATGCACTTTGTTGCTGTCAACCCGGTTGTAATTTTCCAGTAAAACAGGTGAACAGTGATTTGTTACAATGGTATAACAATACTCTAATCTAGTGTGTAGCCGGGTTGAAATATGCACCCCGTCAATAATTGTGTAACCGATGTATACGATAGGAAACATAAGTTTGTGTTAACGGAGGACTCAATTCATGGTGCTTTTCAACTAAGTGTGTTGCACAGGGGCCACCTTATGGTCTATTTGTTTTGTTCTCTGAGATATAGCGGTTTACTTTCCTGGCAGAATATACTAGTGATAAGACCACTGAAGGCACCTCGTCAACCTTAAGTGTAGTAAATAAGGCGGTTTGACAGATCACTCAGGGAGGGGGAGGAGAGGTTGACTACAAGCGAATCAAATGAAATGCACTGCTTATCAATTTTTTGTTCACAGTATCTTGACTTTTGCTGAGGGGCTGACATTGTCATATACAATAAAGAAGCGTCTGACGACCCCCAAGAAGTTTGCTGTTTGAAAAAGCTGTTGCATCAAGGAGCCTACTTAGAGCCCCACTGCGTGTTTTTTCAGCATATGTGGTAAAACCACTCAGGTCAATATTATACCTAAGGACTTGCTACAGAAGCACATAAAAATGGCGCGTCAACAAGTAAACCTCACCTTAAATTCAGTCAGATGTTTGGGGAGAGTATCCTTGTTGCTTTTTAATAATTTAAAAGTATGAGGAAGAGTGGTGTTTGTGTAAACTATCTATGCAGACAGTTGCAGGGATGGATTAATTCTTTTACTTTATGGAATTATGGAGGGTGAAAAACCGATAATTTTTCTCGTGGGCGAATTCTAAAGACTTTCCGCGGATAATAGTTTAACACTTCTTTTCTGAACATGCAAGCATTCACAAAGTGTTATCTGTTCTTTGGCTGATTAGTTGGTGTGAAAAAAGAGAGCTATTTAGAAGAGGGTAATACACATATTCGTCGACAATACTTCTAAGTAGGGTTCAATATGAAATTCTTAATATTCGGTTACTCTAATTGTCTGTTGGTTGTACATGTGTTGGCTAGGATGTAATCTGGTCTTTTAAATGCACATTCCGATAAATTTTGCCCGAGTTTGTAACTGACCACATGAAGTCCAGCTGTTGTGTTTTTTTCTATTGCACAAATGTACAACGATCAGTACAGATAAGTTTGGAATAAGGTTCATTCAGACACACTAATGAATACTCACATAGAAGGGAGATTTATGTCCCGTGAGAACATCAGGGAGGAAGATCATTGTAAAACTGGACGGCTTGGATACTAATGATAGTTCACTTTGCCAGGATATGGAATAGACTAACCATGACGTAAAAAAAAGCGAGCTCGGGTGGGATTTTTGTGGCTTGCAACTCCAACCAAAATTAGACTTATGTAGCTAATTAGGATGGACTATAATTCAGTCTGGTCTGAAACATGCCAGTCGCAGAATGTCAGTTTAAGCTTCTTCACAGTTATAACACACTAAAAACTTCAGCGTTCGGCGCTTGCAGAGCAATATTATATGTATGTATGCCTTCTGCCTCCCTGCTATGTACTCTTCATGTCTGAACCCTGCATTGATAGAAATATGCAGATACAGGTCTTTCGTCCAATTAGCAGGCGTGAATACTAAGGTGGGTAGTTATCAGGGTTGACATATTCGGAAGCCCATGTTGGTTTGTAAAGTGATGAGATATTCAATGTCTGTGAAGGTCAAGATTTAACTTCCGCCTGTGCCATTTGTGGGTTCGACATATGACAGTATAGCCACAACAGAAATCAAAAGAACATGAACAGCAAGAAAATGGGTGTATAAGCGAAATCGCGACATCTGAACTCTGAGACATTTTATAGTAAGACTGCCATAGCAAATCGTTGGGCGACATATGACCACCTCAGGTGTACATGGTATAGTGATTATTTGGCCCACAGTCTTGAGATGAACCTTGTTGAGAACTTCCTGAACAGAATGCTGAGATGAATCTCTTCTAGATGTCACGTGATTCACGCTACTGTTGGCCTCACCAAAGATCACATTAGTGACTAGGGGGTTAAAATGCACATTCGAACTTATTGTTTTGGTTTTAACATTGTCAGCGCACTTCTATGCCACGACTACATTTTCAGTCAAACAGAAAATGGACTAATCAGCCTTTCGAACCCGCAAAGTAGGGTGCAAACCAGTGACAGTTATTATTCCTTAAAACTAGAAAGCTGAAGGTTAGATCAGGTTTATCATAGTTTTAGTAGTGGAAATTATAAAATTAAGACATCAGCAGACCCGGTTCTTTCGGCGAGATCACAAATAGGTTTTTAGTGAAGCACGCAGACTAACTAATGAACGGATTGACCGAATGAGGTTCAATCACACACGTCTGACCAGCTCTGTTCACCACCCTGCCGTGGTCACAACTCAGGAAGTTAGGCTTCATTTCATCTTGGTTGATATAAATCAATAGCACGAAACCTTGAAATGTCAAGCGTCTAGTAGAAACAAAGCATTCATGTCTCATCAACGTAAAACAACAAATGAAAATTGCTCACATCCATTATGGTAAGACACTTAAATGACAGGCAGTAACGAAGTAAACGCACCGTAATTCAAACCACTGATTGTAATATGGAGCATACTCACAAGAGGGACGTTGAAGCAGTTCTGGAGAAAAATCTCATGTCTCGAAGGTGGGGTTCTTTTTTTCCAAAAAATTGAAAGAGTTCCACTTGTTCTCAAGAGTTTGCGCTGTAATGAAATAGAAAAGCCATTTTTCTCTTATGCCTTTGCCTTAGGCATCTATTAAATTAGGAAAAACTGGTTTGCAATCAACACTGGTGTGATTAGCCCCTTGCAAGGTCCGACCTTGTTCACGATATTGATCGGCTAGTGAGCACAATTTTTTTCATCTGTTTCACCATAACTAATAAACACTAATAGATTCCATTAAGTAAGGAGTGGACTTCAGTGTTTCAAACTGGGTAAATAGAAAACACAGTCGAGTCTCATAGGTTTAAGTCCGTGAACTTATATCTGGAGAACCGGGTGAGATTCCATAAAATGCAACTTATCGGCCTGGTAAAACACCTGGGCAGCTCACAGTGGGTCATTCCTTTTTGAGGGTCGCCAGGTAGGCCTGTGCTGCAGGCAAATTTCCACTGCAGTCGTCCGCTAACTCTAGCATCTTATACCGATTCACCTACCTAGAATCGAGGGAGGTCCGGTGAGCGTTGGAACAACCAGATTTACCGACAAAAAAATCAGTCAAACGGTGTCATATCAGATACCGTCATCGTCACCAGAAGCCCATCATCTGATGAGAGTAAGCACTGCCTCAACCAAGCGACTGCATTTGATATGGCGTTGGGCGAAGCAAACAACTGACTCAAAAATGGAACCCACATATATGCAAGCGGCTAGGAATATTGATTTCACTGGCACTACTGTTTGTAATCTGCGAAGCAATCCTATGAGTCATAAGTTTTTTGTTTATGACATAGCTTGTTTATAAGCTTTTTATTATTCATAATATGTACTAAGACTTGAAGATAGAGCGAAATAAAATCAGAATATCGTGCAACAGTGCGCTCTGTTTCACTTTAACTTCACCCTTTTTTACGACAAAATGCTGTTCTCAACCTTAGCAAGTTTAAGAACAGATTGGCATTTCACATTTTACTGCCTTGTTGTTCGGACCAAGGCATTTCATTGTGCCTTCCATGAAGCCAAAAAATGCTACTCTGGGGGAGGCGATGCTTTTGACGGCTTTCTGTTTAATCTTATAAAACAAAGTACTAAAATAGTGCCAGTTTACCCGTAGATTTCCATGCAGACTAATTACTGTGCGATGTGGTCCGCACTTGGCAGATGTTATCTCTGATAATGAGTACTGACAAAAGAGTTTGTAATGAAATCGCTGTAAGCCATCTAACCATGGAAACCGTACCAACCAGTCTCCCGCTTGGATAATTTTCCTGAAGAATTGGGGTATACAGTATTTAATCCTGATTATTTTAACTGACTTGTCTAAAAGGCCATCAACTCCGCAGTATTCCACCAAGTCAAAATCAAATTTGTGGCGGTCGCACACTTAGCAATCGGGTTTTAAAGATTGCTGGGTATGGTGTGAATGCCTTTCAGCATTTCATTAATTGTTAGTGGTCACACAGCGGATAGTTATCTGCGCAGCTGTATGTCATGCTGGCCGAATCGTTCGAAGATGGTTCCGCGCAAGGATATTTTGTGTCGTCCACTTGCTGGCCAGCTGTCTTGCCCTTTGCTCAGTCATCTGCATTCCTCTGGTTACGTATGTCAAGCTTGAGGTGGTTAGCGCCACATTTGCCTCTACGCAATGAAAATAAGGGCGTCAACACTGGCGAAATGGGAAAAGGAGGATTTCACTGCACCACAAGTTCTGATACAGCAGCTAAATACTAGGCAAGATACAAACGGAATGCTATTATTGTACATAGTCTGAGTACATTTTGCTCTAGTAAATTAAATCGTTGAGGAAATCTGACAGTTGATTAATGAGCAATTACTGGTAAACTCCGTAGAAGCTCGGTACACCCTGATTGTGAGGTCATTTAGTTTACAGAGGTTTCAATTCAGTACTTTCATAATCGACCGGTCCAAATCAAACAAGCGAAGAAAACACATACTCACTGAATAACATAAAATCTGTAGAATTCATTGTACGCTGCCTGAGACTGAGTTGTGAATTGTTAAGAAAGGATCCTAGAACAATGAGAACACACAACTTCATGTTCTTTTCATATTCACGAGTTGAACGACGGTCCAGGCGTGACTGTCAGTACCCGCATTGGCTGAGGTCGAAGACCCTGAAAGAACGTAATAAAATGCAGCGTAAGTCACCTAACTTACACTTTCACCAGGACAGACCAGCAACTAGGATGTTATGAATCACTTGCAGTTCATCAGTTAGAAAAGCGCACGAAACAGCCCATGGAGTCAAAACGTAGCACAGTGGAGATTAGGAGTGCCGATGAGGAGAGATTCCGTGCACGGGTGGGAAGCTTGCCAGAAGCAATAAGGTCGAATAATCTGGTGGATAAGAAGACCAAACAGAACATAGAATATCAGTGTTTCATTATTCAAAAGAAGCAATATCGGGTTGCAAAACAGTCCGAACTCACTGATGACCGGATAAACGAACTACTGGATAAATATTACACTACGAAGCCTCATTTATGTCAGTTGTTCTGTCTGGAAGATCACATGCGCTTTTCTCGCCTTTTGGCGTTTGACAACACGACATTTCGTCTCACTCTGAAGTATTCATCTATCAAATGTTGGACTCTGAGTTCTCGCTATGTGGATGCAATCTGCCTGCTTGTGAAAGAGCCAAAATCCGACAAACAAACGTTTGAAATTTACCAGTGTACAAGCCAGCAAGATGCGGAAAATATAAGTTATCTCTTGAGCAGAGTAAAACAAGAACCAAACTGTATGTTCGGCAAATTGCGAAGCCCATTTTCAGCCCCTTCCGCATTGAAGACGTTTTTTGGTCCAGATTCAAGTTTGTCGGAAATGCGGATGCATATGGTTGATGATGCTCAACAGACGGACTTACAGCCAGAGCAGCCGAAGTATGGACCATTCAAGGCACGATATTCTTACGATGCGCGGTATTATAAATCTGACTTGGAAGCCACGCAAAGCACATCTACTGAGCCGTTGATGGTTAGACGGAGAAAGACACTCCCGTATCTGGAAGGTGTTCAGTCACCAATAGCCCATTATAGGTTCAGTTCAGTTCCGAAACCTTCCACTCCCGAAGATAACTGGACTGACAACGTTACGTTTTTGCAATGTGATCCAAAGCGCGGCCCACGCTTATCAGCAACTGGGCCAATATACATGTTTGCAGTGAGAATCAAGGAAGATCCGTGTACACGCACAAGCCTCACACTGACCTGATCTAATGAGAAGAGCCTCCTGTTGGAAGGTGTCACGGTGGTCGTTGCCACAGACAGTAAGTTAGTAAGCTTATATTTTTGCTTCAACAATGGTATGACGAGTTTGCGAAAAACCTACCTATGTGCTAACTATTACGCAACATTTTTACAGTAGTTCTGAATAGTCTCAGCTGTGTTACGGAGTAAATTTTGTTGGCCACTAATATTAGTTTCTACCTTGCAATAAAGACGCTACGAAAATAGTTGATTTTCGTCCAATGACTCGGGCATTAGCATCGACCTTGCGAGACAACCAGTGTCCAGTTAACAAAACTCACCAAAGCCGGAGGATATCTTACATGTTTTATGCCTCCGAGAATTTGCGCTGTCAAATACTGAATTTATAAATCCTGAAAATGATAAGTTAATGTGTTTATTTTCATTAAAGAAACCAGAATATATGACAGACGAAAGTGTACCTCCGTTTCTACTACATTTCACTAGCTTATCATCTGAGATACGCAGGACAGATGTGCGTTGATGTCGCGCCATTATCTGATGATTATCGTTGAATTTGCTCCAACGCTATCAAGCGTGAATGGCCAAAATAACGCTGATCTATCACCCTAGAAGATCAAGCCATTTAGGAAATCGCCAAATCGTAAATTGATATTCTCTAATACGTTGAACACAAACCTTTGGAAACCTTAGTCACTTTGTCAAAAAAACCACTATCTTATCTGCGTCCAACACGTCGGAATCGAATACAATGACTGTTTTTGCGTGTACAGCGTTTGCTCAGATGAATTCTGAAACCTAGGCTACCGCATGTAACTCCCGTAAGAAATGTCGATATTCGGTTGGTATGGGGAACTTTGAGAGTCCGTTTGAGAACTCTGTCTTGCCCTCCGAGGATACTGGGATCGGTGTCACATACCTGTTAAAAGTTTATCTAGACTGTATTTGGAGGCCAGTCTCTTCCACCAATGCTGCAGTCAGTGAGCTCCAGATAGTAACGACACCGAATGACAAATTGATGGTTGCGAAGGGTTTGCAAACTCGGTTTTCAAAGATAAGGACCGAATTTCCTTTTGTCGATCGCCGATGGTCGGAGGTGTGTCGGTTAACAGTTCGAGTGCAAAGTACTATTACTTGTCGGAGGATGTTTGCGTCACCTCAAGCTGGATGGTGATATTGAGAGCATATATTTAGAAACCGCGTGTCTTTACGCCCCAAATTCCGCTGCCCTTCTATCAGAAGTGTTACAGCCCTTAGCACTATATTTGTTGTAGTTCACCTGATACACGGTAGTAAACTGCGCCCCAGTCACATTTCAGATGCGGGCACAAGTGTGCCCGTATGCCTCTGGTGCAAGTTTGGCAACAAACGTGCAGGTTAGCATATTCAGAACCAGAGCACACATATGGCTCGTTCAGTTTATTTCAAACCATATTCCTCATCACAAAGCAAAGCTCTACTTTTCTCGCTACAATAACATTAGAGGCATCTTATGAACATAGAAGGCGTTCATATTAGCTTCACTACAGATACGCGTCTGCGCGCAATTATACGCACTTGTAGACCCGTTGCACTTTTTTGACCCCTCCCCAAGGTGTTTTAGGTCTGTATGAGGAAAATCGGGACCAGCACAACCAGAAGTGCATCGTGTACATCTGAATATGGTCTGCATGGGCCAAATATTGAGACTGGGTATTTGCCAGTAGGTCACTAAGATTGGTTGAAACAGTAAAGGATCAAAGACGGGTCTTTCGAAATGCCAGAACAACCCACTGTGTGGGGAAATTGCCACCCGGCTGGAAAATCTGAGAATAAACTTCGATTGTCGCGAATTCTCACAGTCACACAGCAAAAACAGTCCGTGCAATAGCCTCATGCACATGACCCTTGGGATTCAGAGATGTACGGCTTTGACGCCAAAATTGGCAAACATAATCCAAGTCTTAGGGATTTGTGCATTAACCACGTCTGCCACGTAGGAATCCGAACTAATACAACTTTCAGGATAGATAAAACACACCACATCCTCGAGTGCCTCTCCTTGGATTATAAGTGGTGAGTTCAGTGGATTCATGTCCAGAAGAATGACCTTACACGCCGTGGGCGCAAAATGCAGCCCAAAGAAAGGGCTGAATTTGGTCAGGCCAGCCGAAGAAAACAGTACCTATTTCTTCTCTTCCAAAGAGAAGTAATCAGGATCAACAAGGTTTTCCTCAGCGGCAATTTGAACACCAGTATAACACCAGTGTTTTGAAGACTGCTCCGCGCCTTGGAGACTTATTTCAAGATACCTCAGGCCGGATAACGTATAAATGTTGCAATCAAAAACCATGCAAGACGAACGGGGTCATCATTCCTAACTGATGGATCCGCAAGGAGAGTTTTTGATTGGATGAGAGGGGGGAGATAGTATGTGATAGAGAAATAAGAGAGGCGTCATAAGTAGCCGGTTTTCACCGACTCATGCGACTGTTTGCAGCGAGTAAGGCGACCCAGATGGTGGCACCATGCAACGGCCGATGTGGCATGTGTTTATCTGTAGGTGTGTGGTTTGTGGTTGTACGTGATCTGAAATGCCGCCAGGGCGCGCAGACCTAAACGGGAGGAGGGTTAGGATACGGCCCAAAAGCCTGACAGGAAGGCGGCAGTATTTGGTTGGAAATGTCAGTGCATCATTCAAAAAGGTTTCCCCATGTGTTCTGACGCCCAACTTTGTGGACTGAGATAAGTTGCTGGTCATGTCTGGAACCACTCACCAGTGAGTGTCGCAGGGACACCCCCAACATAGCTCAGAGGATCACGGAAGTACACAGCTGGTCACACCAGCTGGTAGAAAAAGAAATATTACAGACGCCAACAGACTTGATGCTTCGTTCAGGAGGTGATGATCCACCTCGATAAAATATTATCAATGCGCTATCACTACTTCCCATATGTGGAAATACTTGAAAATCATTCACGTCCGACTCGCTCGCGGACACAAGAATGTTGGTCGATGTTGCACCTGATTTTCCGGCCTCTGCATGCGCCAAAGACGTGAAACATCTGGAATGGCCGTATGTATATATGTATACAGATAAATGCATGCACCTACATATACATATTTATACGCATGCATTTATCTAAATATATTAGCATATTTACTCATATGGCTGTGTACTGATCAGCTCCGACTGAACAACTGTTTGTATACCAGTCGATGGAGGGCATTGTGAAACCCACTAGGATGAGGCTGTTTTTACACTTGTGAGCAGTTTCAATTTATAAACAAGCGATGATGGTCATGATGCAGGGGCTCGAGAGATTTCCCTGATGTTTTCAAAGCCATGGTGAGACAGTATGGCTTCATTCTTCACCGGGATCACAACACGTAATCAGATCTTTCACCGATCCTGTTTATTAGATCAGATTGGAACACAATGAAACTCTTTAGGGTGACTTCCAAACTTAATCACGTCACTCACCCGCCAAGGCCCTGCCAGTTTTGTCACTGATATCAGCCACTCTCTCCTGTTCATCATTCATCAGCACAACCACATCTGGGCCAGGTTGCCACTACAATCCCAGGAACTGGCAGATTATTCGTAGAGACTGTTGGTAGCATCTGTAATAAGGGTGCTGATCGTATTTGGTGTCTCCAGTGGAACTCAACAAGAATCTCAAATGAATAAATCTGTCACTTATTTATTTGTTCCAATGCTCTACATTTTGGAGTAAGGGCAACCTGATAGCTTATCTGAGGCAGAAAAGAAAGCTCTGGAGGGCTTGGGTTGTGTTGAATTGTCATCCTATCGGCTTCCAAGTAGATGAGCGGATTTGGCTCCCAAGAAAATTCGCAAGGGGTTCTTCTCTGGGTAGAAAAATATTACTCAAACAAAATCAGATTTCATTTATGTCTCATTTTTCAGTTTTGACTGCGGTCTATCAGAAGAGGATACCCATACAGTTAAACTATCACGTACTGGCAATATCACAGAATATAGGTAGCTCGAGTACGCTGGTTGTTTTTTCATTTCTACTTTGCTTCACACTTGGGTTGAAAACTCTTCATTGCCAGCCGAGAAGGTATCGCCAGTGGATGGTTAGGTGGGTTCCCGCCCGATGTGAACAGAGTTTAGAAACCTAGTTGCCACGCTGAACAATGGGACCAACAATTGCTATTACACATCGTTCTCGTGAGATTGTGTTAAATTTTTCTCCTTGAGGCAGTATGGTAGGGGAGAAACGGAGTTAATATTGCCTTTGAAGTTTACTTCGTCGCAGCTGATGACCAAAACAGGAGCCTTTCCTGCCACAGATATCTGGAGCAGTGAATGCCATCATAGTCGTAAGGCGCACGAGCGAATTACGCCAATGAGTTTCTCTTTACGACTAGCCGAGGTGCTGGTGGTAACTCTCAAGGAAAGCTTCAGAGTTCAAGATGTTCACTTTAAAAATTCATGTTTAATCAGGATTACCACAATCTGGATATCACCTCATCAGATCTTACAGAAGTCCAGCATAAGATTGGTGAGTTCAACGTTTGCATGGTTTCAAATTCTTGTTTGGAAATAAAGTCAAGTAGTTTCAGTAAGGATACTGGACAATAGATCCAGTTATTTTGGTGGCTCGGGTGGGTAAATCGGTTGAAGATTAGGTGGCTGTTGATCTGTTCACCGAGCTTGACAATTTGCTTGCAAGCGTTTTTACAGCAATCTTGGTGCACATACATTGTCCAACAAACTAACGTAGTAGGTGTGACGGAAAAAGCCATGCTGCTTGCAAAGCCCGGTCACCGCCAGTCTCTCTACAACAAGTATATCAAAGTTCAAATTGTGTTGAGAAACCCAGATATGCGAACCTACTACTTAGGAAAACGCCGTTCGTCTGAGGATACAGGTTTATAGGTGCTAGCTTAAAAAAATATTGCTACAGTCTGTTCAAAGAATTCTGAATATCTAATGATGTTTACATTGCTTCGTCCACGCATGAAGTGAAAGCTCCTTGTGAAAACAAGAGGAAAAC